CTTCCTCCCTATTTCAAGAATGGGACGATAATCAGGTCATTCATCTCAGGAACACCATTTCTCAAATGGGTAATGAATCAAATCGTTGGTATTGTTTACACTGCCCTCGATCTTCAAATGCTAATTCTCATCGGGTAGCTGAATGAGCTCCTGAAATATCTTGGTGCCAACCTAAGTTGGTATACTCACTCCCCAACCCTCCAAATTATCAAACTCAACCTTTTAAGGTACGTTCTTACGATAAGGCCCCATGGTGCACTGCAGTGCTCCAACATACAAATTCAGCCTGGATGGGAAAAACAAACAATTGTGATTATACCCTGATCTACAACCAGACACAAACTCGGTTTCAGCTGATACGCTATAATCGAACCAGAGTTTGTAATGAATCCAATTTAAGAACCACATGGTTCTGTAAAAACAAATCAGTGATTACAAATAATACTGTTTTAAATATTTTGCCACCCTGGAATCTCACGACTGTAAATGGCACAATTTGCCAAAGATACTATAATCTCACTGGTCCTAATTCTACATTCTACAGAGTAATGGTATACTGTTTCAAATATTTTGCCACCCTGGAATCTCACATGGACTGTTAATGGCACAATTTGCCAAAGATACTATAATCTCACTGGTCCTAATTCTACATTCTACAGAGTAATGGTTGGTTAAAAACTAATGACAATTAGTAATTGGACATCTGTAATTGGAATAACACGTCTGGCTGTATATACACCAAGCCTTTTCACACCACTTGGATGAGCCACACTCACCTGCTTAAATTTGATCATCCTGACAGTGAAAAAGAGGCTCATCGATGGTGTGAGCAATGTTTTCCTACAGATTTTTACACTGCCAAACGAGTGGTCCACCATTCCAGCATCCAGATGGTTCTGTCTCTGTGGCACAAATGCCTGTAAAAGTCTGCCACCGCAATGGACAGGTACTTGTACTATAACATGTCTTGTTCCCCATGCATTTCAAGAAAAAAAATTTAACTTTTACCTTTTTACAGAACCATTACCCTGTATGCTATAAGCGTGTTGTGATCAATCCCTTGTTAAAAAAGGAATGACCAAATTCCATCAACTTATGCATGCATTGTTTCCAAGTTTAAGTATTGATGAGTTGGAAAGAGCTGTTGTAAATATTTCTGCTACACTTGAATTGTCCAAAATGCTGCAGGAGATGCTTTAAAAAAATGTTTGCAATGAGATATTAGTTTGCTTTCACAATTAGCTATTAAAAATCATTGGCCCTTATATTATATTTTAGTATCACAAGGAGGTGTATGTATACTGTTAAACACCACTTGTTTTTATACTAACAAATCTAAACACATGGAATATGATATAAACACCATTCAATGACAAGCTTGTACTTTTCACCAAATAGCTCAAGAGCAACTCTTCTCAGAAGGCCGACCTGCTGACTGGTTTTGGCTGTAGTCCTGGCTACCTGACTTCGGAACACGGACTTATCGTGTTTTGTTAATATTAACTCTTATTATAGCTGCTGGAATTACGTTATTTTGTGCTATATCTTTGTTTAGATTTTTATGCATATCAATTGCTAAAATCAATGTCTTATACTCTCCTCCCCGCTTGGATGAACAGCCTTCGGATAACATATGGCCCATTGCTGCAAAGGAGTCCTCTTTATGAACTTGTTGCTAAGCTGTAGGCCATGGGCAAGAGGTGACAGTACTATCACCGCTGGTGTCCTTCGCTGTTCATGATAGTGTCGAGGGGTGGGGTCTGACTGGTACTCCCTGCTCTTGACCCCCAGTAATATGGTTAGCATAACTAACGCCATTTTGTAAGGCAAATGGACATTCTCCGCGACCGAGCTGGTCACATATCAGTCCCCTCTCCAGATGGCCCTGCACACCAGGCAGACGTCTTCTCCCCCTCCCTATCAGCCTCAAGGTCCCTGGACACCAGGCCGACTACTCCCCTCCTCCCCGGCCTTGAAGGTCCCAGGCACCCGGCCAACCCAGTGGCGATGGCCCTGGCACAGAACAGGGAAGCGCAGCACCACACACCGCACTGTCCATAAAACCAAGGAGCTACAAGCCCTGAGTGGGACTTGGACCAGAACTGCTACTGGAATGCAAAACCTGTGATCCCCCAGGGGCCAGGGATGCCTCTGCTCTTGTCTGCTTCCTACAAGGACTGAGTGAGTGACTTGTATTCTTTTACACGATTCAGGTCTGGATGATGACTGCGATATTGATACTGCAAGCCAAGTACTAAGATTTGACCCAATCTGCAGAGGCTCCAGGTGATTAGGAACCATAAGCTAAGCTGTGCTATAAAATTCTGCACTACTCTACTTATAAAATTGTGCTACGCTGACTTTGACTATAAAAATCCTGTGCTACCCTGATCATAAATTTCTATGCTCTGCTGATGATCAAATTCTGTTAAAATAATAAAGCTTTAATTGTAACTACAACTTAGTGCCATCATCATTCTGCCAGGGATCCCCAAAAGAACCTGTCTGTCCCTGTAGCATTGGCTGGTAGCCGTGTGGTAGGCAAATATATTTCTGCTATAAAATAAAGGAATTTGACCTGACTGCTCCAAACTCCACACAGACACCTTGTAATGGGCATAAAACTAGTGAGATTGCTTTTGGGTACCAGGCTGAAATATATGTGTCAGTGATTGTGGGCTTGAAGAATTAAATCCAAAACCAGAGGGAACTATATGAAGATCAAGAAATTTAGAAAACTTCCCATTTCCTTTGAGAATTCAGTTACTGAAAACATCACTGACCTGAGGCAAGGACTTGTCCCCACACGCATGCATTTTCATTTTCATTAATGCCACTTTTGCTGCTGTCTCATTGTTTTTCGCTCCTTTACGTCTTTTGCTTTTTGCGTCCTCACTTTTTTTAGAATCTGAGAACAATATTATTCCTGTTAGTGTGATGAGTCAGATTGTCTCCTGAACTTATCTTGGAATTAACCTCTGGGGTCTCATTGTAGCTCCAAGGTTCCCACCCCTTTCATGTCCTCCCGAGGCCATGATATCAGGTACTCCTATTCAAGAACATGTGGAATTGTTACAGTTCTAGCAGAAGTCCTTTACACTGAAAAGTAGATGAACACTATCATGAAGTAAACACAGGTTGCAAAAGCCAAATAGATACAAATCCCTAGAGTTTCTAAACCTGTGGCCATCACAGTGATCATACGGCAATAGTTTCAGGTCCTCCTTTCTACGCATAACCCCACTGTCCAGTTAGGCAGAGCTGTATTCTCTTTTCTGCCCTAGAGTTTGTTTAAAAGCTGCAAAACATTACATTGTAGACTCACATTTTTTTTGCCATCTTAGTTGTGTAGACATAATCCCAGCAGGTTAGCATGTGCACCCAACAGAATACAATTGTGTTATTTGCATATGAATTAATATGCAAATAATAATGGCTAGGTACAAATCATTACATTGCAGTACTTGTAGCATGAGAACAAGACAGTAATTCTGAAAGAAACCTGAACCCTATTTAATCTTTAAAGAGTCTCTTTATAGATGTATGCTACTGTTGTCTTGTCTCAGTCTAGATGAACAGTACTACATGCTGACATGTGAGTTCAGGGCTATTTAAACAAGGAACCCCCATCCTTTCTTATTTGGTCAAACCTGGACCCTCAGAGGAGGTCACAAGCTCAAACAGCCTTCTGAAGAAAACTGTAGAATATATATCCCACTGTACTTGCCTATAATATCTTTAACTAGCTGCTGGGTGGCAGCCATTTGAGGTTTTGGCGTGTCCAGTTTCTCACATTCATGGTCTGATTGATGCCGGTGTCTGTAAACAACAGTGTAAAACTTTTATTACCTTTTCCATACACTAATGAATGAGTACTGATGTTTAAACACTGTTCTACTCACCTTAGACAAAAATGTTTTCCGCAGTAGGGACACAAAACTGGCAAAAGCTCCCTTCCATTGCAGTCCTTGTATGAGCATGGGTAAGATCTGTGCTGATCGGGTTTCATAGAATTGTTTCTTATATTTACCTAGCCATTAGTACAAAATATTTTGTGTAACTTAACAGATATTACAGATACAAGTCATCACTCCAGCTTTCCAAAAGAACTGTGCTAGCTCTTCATTCAATGCGCAAAACTTGTCCAGCAATTCTTTCCTACTTTTGTGCTGGTTAAGTTTAGTTCAGAGTTGGAAAATGAACCATCATGCTACTCAAACTCAATTTACTTCTGACAGACAGAAAAAGAGTAGATTCATTTTTTTAAGCTTGTCACATTCTCAGTTAAATAATTCATACTTGTATACTATGTGTATATATCTAATCTGAAAATAGACAGTTAAGTTGCACAGAATTTTAATTTTAAGGTAGTCATATATTATTATATTACCTCAGAACACCCATGAGCATCCCGGCTCCTGTGCTGAAGACTTTGTGGCAAAAGAGGAAAATATCACACCGTTATCAACGTTTCAGGAAAAGGAAACTGCATGTGAAAACATTTAATCGTTTAAAGAGTGATCTGACAAGTTTTATCATGGGAACAATTCAATTAAATAATGAATCTTCTCCAAAATTTGTTCTAACCTATGCATCTCACATCTCGAATGGATTGACTGTATTCTTCCTGAGGATGTAAAACATTTAGCTCTCGGAATTTATGCCCAGGATAACAAACCACTTCAAGAAAATAAAGACATTAACGTGCTTAAGAATTCAGCTCAAAGCAACTGGAGTTTGCATTTTAATGGATTCTGAATGACATTCCACAACAGCAGAAATCCCTTGAAGGCTTCTAACGTGTTAAAAGCAAAATCTGCCTTCGGTCTAGCTGAGTTTATTTCAGCTGCCCTCTGCTAATCTGAAGTGTAAATCAAAGGGCAGGCCCTGACTTCAACCTTGGAAGAAACTTCAATTTTTTCTACAAGAAAAAATACCTGTGTCCCCCCCCCAAAAAAAAAATCAGTACAAAACAGGGTCTAAACTAGATACCTTCCAAAATAATCTGCCTGTATTCTAAAGATAATCCCATTCATTTCAAAGCTCCACAACAGCTACTTGGGAAAAAAGTGGCAAGTTCAATGAAACAATTATTTTTAACTAAATGTATCTAAACGGAGTCACAGAATGGTTTCTGTAACATTTAGGTCTACACAACTACCACACCCAGATCTTAGAGAAAAACCAACTGAACTTCCCTTCATGACATGGTCACCCATCTAGTTGACCTAGGGAAGCAAGTAGATGTGGTGGTTTTGGATTTTAGCAAAGCTTTTGATACTGTCTCTCATAGTATCCTTCTGGACAAAAGGTCCAGCATGCAGCTAGACAAGCCCATAATACGATGGGTGAGCAACTGGCTAACGGGTCAGGCTCAAAGAGCTATAGTAAATGGGGTTACATCAGGCTGGCAGCCAGTCGCTAGTGGGGTTCCCTAAGGCTCAATTTCAGGGCCAGTCCTCTTTATTGTTTTTATAAATGATCTGGATGCAGGAATTGAATGTACATTAAGTAAGTTTGCTGATGATACTAAACTAGGAGGAGCTGCGGACTCCCTCAAGGGTAGAAAGGCCTTAACAGAGTGATCCAGATAGACTAGAGAGCTGGGCAGTCACCAGCTATATGAAGTTTAAATACAGCAAGTGCAGGATTCTCCATCTGGGATGGGACAATTCTGGTTATACATACAAACTGGGGGACAAGCAGCTGGAGAGCGGCCCCGCAGAAAGAGACCTAGGGGTTTGGGCTGATGGCAAGTTGAATATGAGTCTACAGTGTGCCCTGGCAGCCCAAAGGGTGAACTGTGCCCTGGGGTGCATCAAGCACAGCATGGCTAGCCGGTCAAGGGAGGTGACTGTCCCACCCTACACTGCACTGGTGCGGTCCCACCCCCAGTACTGTACACAGGTTTGGGTGCCTCAATATAAGAAGGATATCAAAGTATTAGTGTGTGTCCCAAGGAGGGTGACGAAGATGGTGAAGGGCCTTGAGGGCAAGATTTAGGAGTACTGGCTGAGGTCACGTGGTTTGTTCAGCTGGGAGAAGAGAAGGCTGACCTCATCACGGTCTACAACTTCCTCAAGGGGTGCAGCAGAGGGGGAAGTGCTGATCTCCTCTCTGGTGACCAGGGATAGGACATGAGAAAATGGAACAAAGCTGAGTCAGGAGAAGTTCAGAGTGGACATCAGGAAAAGGTTTTTCATGGAGAGGGTGGCTGGTCACTGGAACAGGTTCCCCAGGCACCAAGCCCGTCAGAGTTCAAGGAGTGTCTGGACAACACTCTTAGTCATATGGTTTAGTTTTAGGAAGTCCTGTGAGGAGTAGGGAGTTGATTCGATGATCCTTATGGATCCCTTCCAACTTGAGCTACCCTATGATTCTATAAACTTACCAAAAGACACCTGAACATCCATCACATACAAAGGGGAGAAAATCTGAAACAGAGATTTGTTTTGAGTTAGACAACATGGTCATTGTTTTGCTAATTGTTTCTAGCTTAATTTTTACATGATCAACTTTTGCCTACCTATATCATGGGGTACGTATCTTTACAAGGACACTTAGCAACTTCATCTACACGCTACATAGAAGTGGCTTTTGTACCACAGTTACACTGTTAACTCCCCCAGTTAGTATTACTGAAAAACATATGAGTGGGTAAATTATATTTATATACATTCCAGGAGTTGGAGTTATGCTTTAAATTCACTTTTTTTTCAATATCAAACTTTGAAGCTAGAACATTTGGCTAGCCAAACTTACTGGTTAGGCTAAAAATTTAATTTATTGCGAGACCACTCGTAATACTATTTACTGACTGCTGGAGCACTGGGCAATTTATATTTTCATTATATGGGTTGCCAAGTGGAGGAGATGCTACCCCTTTCAAAAAGCCAGCACCTCCTCCATTTGACAGGCCTGATAATCCAGCTCCTTCCTCCCTATCCTTCCTATCATACATACCGTCCTTGTGTAATTTAAATTGCACACACTTCTTCAGTCTCTGCACACATCCCCCACCTGCCGCATTAATTCTTACGTATAAAATCACTTCACTGTCTGCTGAACTCAGCCACAAAAAAAACCCCCCACAAAGCCGTTACACCATTGCTCTGTTCTTCAGGTTTGGTCTTAGCGGACCACCATGCAAGCGGACTACAAAGCCCAGGTCACGAAGATCTCGGTCACTTCATCCATAAGAGTGAGCAGTCTCATCAGAAAGCTTTCAGTACAACCGTTTGTGGAGCCTCTTTCCAAAAGGTTACATTTTCATTAACATCGTTTCCTGAGCTCAGTGAAGGCAAGCAAGGGTGAAGAATGGAAACACGGGGTAATTAACCACCCAGTAACACAAGTGAAGTGACAGGCCCTGGCAATGGGTCCTGCAGGGCTGCAGCAGCACAGAGGACGCCCCGGGGGGG